TAGACTCACCACACAGAGACCCATAGACTCACCACACAGAGACCCATAGACTCCCCACACAGAGACCCATAGACTCATCACACAGAGACCCATAGACTCCCCACACAGAGACCCATAGACTCATCACACAGAGACCCAAAGACTCACCACACAGAGACCCATAGACTCACCACACTAAAAACCATAAACTCACACAGAGACCCATAGACTCACACAGAGACCCATAAACTCCCCACACAGAGACACATAGACACACCACACAGAGACCCACAGACTCATCACACAGAGACCCATAGACTCACACAGAGACCCATAGACTCACCACACAGAGACCCATAGACTCACCACACAGATACCCATAGACTCACCACACCACACAGAAAACCATAGACTCACACAAGAGACCCATAGACTCACACAGAGACCCATAAACTCCCCACACAGAGACCCATAGCCCCCTCGATCCGGCCGAACAAAAGCTGTTTAGGCATGCGGTGGCTGGGCATGTGGGCTACATGACCCAGCCAACGCAGCCTTGCCTGCCGGAGGAGCTCACCAATGGGACTTTGCCCAGATCTTTCATGGATTTGTGAGCTCCTCTCACAATCCAGCCTGCAAGTCAAACCCAGGATGGATCGTAGGCAGGCCAGCCCCGGCACGCACGCACGCACACACCCACACGCACACACACACACACGCACACACACACACACGCACATACACACACGCACGCACACACACACACACGCACACACGCACACACCCACACGCACGCACACACACACACACGCACACAGACACACACACGCACATACACACACACGCACACGCACGCACACACACGCACACGCACACACGTGCGTGCGTGTGCGTGCGCGTACCTCGACTGTGGCACCGTATTGTCTATGAAGAGGAAGATTGCGCTCTCCGCTGCGAGCTGGATCTTCATGCGCACTATCCACATGAACTGGGCGATGGTGATGTCGGACAGCACCAGGTACTTGCGCTTGTCGATGTCTCCGATGTGGGAGCCAGCGACCTTCTCAACGATCACCTTCAAGAGGTGCCGGGGACGGTGGGGGGTCAAGGGGGGTGAGCCACAAACTCATCACACAGCAGAGACCCATAGACTCATCACACAGCAGAGAGCCATGGACTCATCACACAGCAGAGAGCCATGGACTCATCACACAGCAGAGACCCATAGACTCATCACACAGCAGAGAGCCATAGACTCATCACACAGCAGAGAGCCATAGACTCATCACACAGCAGAGAGCCATAGACTCATCACACAGCAGAGACCCATAGACTCATCACACAGCAGAGAGCCATAGACTCATCACACAGCAAAGAGCCATAGACTCATCACACAGCAGAGAGCCACAGACTCATCACACAGCAGAGACCCACAGACTCATCACACAGCAGAAACCCACAGACTCATCACACAGCAGAGAGCCATAGACTCATCACACAACAGAGACCCACAGACTCATCACACAGCAGAGAGCCGTAGACTCACCACACAACAGAGACCCATAGACTCATCACACAGCAGAGAGCCGTAGACTCATCACAGAGCAGAGACCCATAGACTCATCACACAGCAGAGAGCCATAGACTCATCACACAGCAGAGACCCATAGACTCATCACACAGCAGAGACCCATAGACTCACCACACAACAGTGACCCATAGACTCATCACACAGCAGAAACCCACAGACTCATCACACAGCAGAAACCCACAGACTCATCACACAGCAGAGAGCCATAGACTCATCACACAGCAGAGAGCCATAGACTCATCACACAGCAGAGACCCACAGACTCATCACACAGCAGAGAGCCGTAGACTCATCACAGAGAGCCATAGACTCATCACACAGCAGAGAGCCATAGACTCATCACACAGCAGAGACCCATAGACTCATCACACAGCAGAGACCCACAGACTCATCACACAGCAGAGACCCACAGACTCATCACACAACAGAGACCCACAGACTCATCACACAGCAGAGACCCATAGACTCATCACACAGCAGAGACCCACAGACTCATCACACAGCAGAGAGCCATAGACTCATCACACAGCAGAGACCCACAGACTCATCACACAGCAGAGACCAATAGACTCATCACACAGCAGAGAGCCATAGACTCATCACACAGCAGAGAGCCATAGACTCATCACACAGCAGAGACCCATAGACTCATCACACAGCAGAGAGCCATAGACTCATCACACAGCAGAGAGCTATAGACTCATCACACAGCAGAGAGCCATAAACTCATCACACAGCAGAGACCCATAGACTCATCACACAACAGAGACCCACAGACTCATCACATAGCAGAGACCCATAGACTCATCACACAGCAGAGAGCCATAGACTCATCACACAGCAGAGACCCAGAGACTCATCACACAGCAGAGAGCCATAGACTCATCACACAGCAGAGAGCCATAGACTCATCACACAGCAGAGACCCATAGACTCATCACACAGCAGAGAGCCATAGACTCATCACACAGCAGAGAGCCATAAACTCATCACACAGCAGAGACCCATAGACTCATCACACAACAGAGACCCACAGACTCATCACACAGCAGAGACCCATAGACTCATCACACAGCAGAGACCCATAGACTCATCACACAGCAGAGACCCATAGACTCATCACACAGCAGAGACCCATAGACTCATCACACAACAGAGACCCACAGACTCATCACACAGCAGAGACCCATAGACTCATCACACAACAGAGACCCACAGACTCATCACACAGCAGAGACCCATAGACTCATCACACAGCAGAGACCCATAGACTCATCACACAGCAGAGACCCACAGACTCATCACACAGCAGAGACCCATAGACTCATCACACAGCAGAGAGCCACAGACTCATCACACAACAGAGACCCACAGACTCATCACACAACAGAGAGCCATAGACTCATCACACAGCAGAGACCCACAGACTCATCACACAGCAGAGACCCATAGACTCATCACACAACAGAGACCCATAGACTCATCACACAGCAGAGACCCATAGACTCATCACACAGCAGAGACCCATAGACTCATCACACAACAGAGACCCATAGACTCATCACACAGCAGAGACCCACAGACGCATCACACAGCAGAGACCCATTGACTCATCACACAGCAGAGACCCACAGACTCATCACACAGCAGAGACCCATAGACTCATCACACAACAGAGACCCATAGACTCATCACACAGCAGAGACCCACAGACTCATCACACAGCAGAGACCCATAGACTCATCACACAGCAGAGACCCACAGACTCATCACACAGCAGAGACCCACAGACTCATCACACAGCAGAGACCCATAGACTCATCACACAGCAGAGACCCACAGACTCATCACACAGCAGAGACCCATAGACTCATCACACAACAGAGACCCACAGACTCATCACACAGCAAAGACCCATAGACTCATCACACAACAGAGACCCACAGACTCATCACACAACAGAGAGCCATAGACTCATCACACAGCAGAGACCCACAGACTCATCACACAGCAGAGACCCACAGACTCATCACACAGCAGAGACCCACAGACTCATCACACAGCAGAGACCCACAGACTCATCACACAACAGAGAGCCATAGACTCATCACACAGCAGAGACCCACAGACTCATCACACAGCAGAGACCCACAGACTCATCACACAGCAGAGAGCCATAGACTCATCACACAGCAGAGAGCCATAGACGCCGTGGCAAGGAGACGTTGTCTATGGGGTTGGAGGGACACGGAAGGATGGGGACGCCGCTTTGCTGGCGATTGTTTTTGCTTTTCGTGAATAAACTCTCCTAACAACAGACGAACTCACGTCCTGAAAGTTGTCATGTTAACTGACTCGCTTGGTCTACAGGAGGTCGTGGGTTCGATCCAATGACCCTGGGAGATGTTGACTACCTCGCCTGGTCTACAGGAGGTCGTGGGTTCGATCCCCGACCCTGGCGATGCCTGCTGCTGCTGCTGCTGTATATTTGGAGTTTGTGTGTCTCTCTCTCACCGTGGTGGTCTCGTGGTTGTGGTGATGTTGTGGTGATGTTGTGGTGATGTTGTGGTGAGTGTGTGGTGATGCTGTGGTGATGCTGTGGTGAGTGTGTGGTGATGTTGTGGTGAGGCTGTGGTGATGCTGTGGTGATGCTGTGGTGAGTGTGTGGTGATGCTGTGGTGAGTGTGTGGTGATGCTGTGGTGATGCTGTGGTGAGTGTGTGGTGATGTTGTGGTGAGGCTGTGGTGATGCTGTGGTGATGCTGTGGTGAGTGTGTGGTGATGCTGTGGTGAGTGTGTGGTGATGCTGTGGTGATGCTGTGGTGAGTGTGTGGTGATGTTGTGGTGAGTGTGTGGTGATGCTGTGGTGATGCTGTGGTGATGCTGTGGTGATGTTGTGGTGATGTTGTGGTGAGTGTGTGGTGATGCTGTGGTGATGTTGTGGTGAGTGTGTGGTGATGTTGTGGTGAGTGTGTGGTGATGCTGTGGTGATGCTGTGGTGAGTGTGTGGTGATGCTGTGGTGATGATGTGGTGATGTTGTGGTGAGGCTGTGGTGATGATGTGGTGATGTTGTGGTGATGTTGTGGTGAGTGTGTGGTGATGCTGTGGTGATGCTGTGGTGAGTGTGTGGTGATGTTGTGGTGATGTTGTGGTGAGGCTGTGGTGATGATGTGGTGATGTTGTGGTGATGTTGTGGTGATGTTGTGGTGATTGTGTGGTGATGCTGTGGTGATGCTGTGGTGAGTGTGTGGTGATGTTGTGGTGAGTGTGTGGTGATGCTGTGGTGATGCTGTGGTGAGTGTGTGGTGATGCTGTGGTTAGTGTGTGGTGATGTTGTGGTGAGTGTGTGGTGATGCTGTGGTGATGCTGTGGTGAGTGTGTGGTGATGCCCAGTGTGGTGATGCTGTGGTGATGCTGTGGTGATGCTGTG